AGGCTATTACAATTTCTTTAGAGACATTACCACCTATTTGTAAATAATAGTGTAGTCTCCATAAATAGAAATTTCAAACATCCTGCATTTAGAGTAGTCACCAGTTAAGAATAAGACATATTTTCATATATTACTGATTTTTATCAGAACACAGTATCCTATTTAAACTCTTAACCGATTCACCCTTCAAAATCTGGGAATAAACAGCTCTTGTTTACTATGGATATTAACTACCATTTGATCTATGGCATTCATTCCTCTAACAATTAAATTCATGAGTAAGGTAAGAACATCATATCTGACAAAAGTCTTGTTAAGGCTTTTTTAATGCAGTAGAAAACCACAGGACTAGTCTTGAAGATTTCAAAGGAAAGGCAAAATATAATTTTAAGTTTTTCATTAATGTATATTTCTCTACAGAGAAATTAGAGACTATATGTGCTTATCTGTGAAGATAGATGTTGGTATGTCTCCAAAGGCTTATATACATGTACATGCTGGTGTGAATCGTCATTCCCACAAAGTCTCCAAATGGCAATTTGCTGATAGCTCTGGAAAAGCCCAAGGCCTTTCTCTTTAGTAGGAACACTAATTGTTTTAGTTTTATTCAAAGAAATTTAACAAATACTGTTCATTTCTTGGTTGCCTTATAATTTTATGAAATTCACCAAAACAAAATAAAAAAAAAGACAAATGTGAAGGAGCTAGATTGTGCAAGAGGTTTAGATAAACAAAAGATTCTGGAGCAAGTTAACACAGTAAGTAGAACAGGAAGTGCAACTTCAAAGTTATATCATACACACCACAAACAGAGCTAATCTCTCAACATCTAGAGATACTCTCGTGGACATTTTGACCTTAATTATAACCAGGAACAGGTAGACACTGGTATTTAAGAGTTAGCATTGTGTACTATAATTTCGATTAGGTGACTCATGATTTTCAAATATTTTCAGGTGCTGACGTGAGTCACCAAAGTCTTGTGTCCCTCACTCCTACCCTGGCTAGTGGTCAGCAGTATGAGCTATGAACTCCATTTCCTCATATGTAGAATGGGAGATTGAAAAATATAACTTATGGTTTCTTTCCATTTCTAAAATGATGCTTTCATTCTAGAAATGTAAGATCAAAGTTGAAAAAGTAAATTTAAATAGCACATTTTAATAGACACTCCCAAAGAGAACAAAGGAATGGAGACAGCAAGGAAATCTGGTTAACTTTGTGCAAAACAACATAATGCTGATGAAAAAAAGAAGGTAAACAAAAATTTTCTGACATTTACTTCTGCTAGGAGTGTAGATTGGTACATTCCTGGAAAACAATTTGGTAATATTTATAAAGAGCCACAAAAATGCCCACTAATTTCTAACTCGGTAACTTCACTACTAAGAATTTATTATAAGGAAGAATAGAGATAAAAGATGATGGGCAAAGAAAGATCCATCTCAGCATTATTTATGAGGGAAAACCAGGAAAGCAAAACTATGCCTCTTACAAGAAGATAATGGTTAGAGCATGGTGAACTCAGGGTGAGAAATGTGATTCTTTGTTGTCATTACATATAATAGTGGTGTCTTGACACATTAATGTCAGGAAGTGCCATATATGTATTACTTCACTTAACAGATATTTGAATGTCTACTATGTGCAGACATGATTCTAGGCACCGAGGAAAAAGTAGTAAATACAGAGGAAGATTTATCTTCCAGCCCCCTGGGAGCTAGTGAGGTAAGACTATAAACAAAAAAAGAAACAGATAAATATGTAGCATATCAGATGATGGAAAGTGCTATGGAGAAAAACAAGGCAGTGGGAGTATGGAAGAGGAGGAGACGTGGTTTTATAGCCACAGTGAGGGCAAGGCTCATTGATCAGAGACTTTGGAGCAGAGATTTGAGTCAGTGAGCTGGTGGACATGTAAATATCCAGGAAGGGTATTCTAGGTCAGGGAAACAATTTTTTTTTTTTTTTGAGACAGAGTTTCGCTCTTATTGCCCAGGCTGGAGTGCAGTGGCACAATCTCGCCTCACCACAACCTCCACCTCCTGGGTTCAAGCAATTCTCCTGCCTCAGCCTCCCGAGTAGCCGGGACTACAGGCTCATGCCACCATGCCCAGCTAATTTTTGTATTTTTAGTAGAGACAGGGTTTCACCATGTTGGCCAGGAGGGTCTCGATCTCTTGCCCTAGTGATCCACCCGCCTCGGCCTCCCAAAGTGCTAGGATTATAGGCGTGAGCCATCATGCCTGGCCAAGGAAAAAATTTTAAAGGCCCTGAAGTAGAAGTACATTTGGTGTATTTATGAAATACCCTAAAATCAGCAATGGGAAGAGTGGCAAGAGATGAGGTTGGAAAGATGGGGTGAATGCAGGCCATGTGAGCCTTGGGGGGTCACTGTAAGAACTTTGAGCTTAATTAAGCAAGCAATTAAGTCATCAACATTTATTGAGCCCTCATTGTGTAACCTAATTTTGGACAACCAATAAATTGCTTATGTATTCCCTGCTAAAACACACTCTCAGAATATTTGTTATCTCTTGGCTGGAAAGATTTTTTAAATGTCCAATTAAGCAGATGAAAGAGAAAAAAGCTAATGGAATGAAACAATGAACTGTAAGGGCAAACATGATTACCTTGAACCAACCAATTTATTTTGTATTCTTCTTAATAAGGATAAAGGTGAAGAGAAAGGTAAAAAGGCCTGGTATCCCTGCCTTCCATCTCTGAATTATCATGTTTCCAAGTCTCTATGGAAGGTTCCGAGGGCCATCTAATAGAATCAAGAGAGATTTTCCTCAAACCCCATCCCGCTCCACCTTTTGGCCAACAGTGTTTCAAATCCAAGAACAGTCTAATCCATAAAAACAGGGCCTTGGAAAACCCTTTCTGGAGTAGCTACCTTACAGAGATATGATTCCAGGAATTGGTTTAGAAGTGGAAACCCTGAGGTTCATGATCAAGAGGGTCACTTTGGTGCTCACTGAGGTTCTGGGTCCTGCTCTCCTCGTATACCCCACCCTCACCACAAGCTGCAGTTCTATTTCTCCCTCAGTCATGCCTCACTGCAGATGCGGGTGACTTTGCTGATAAAGATGGGTAAGAGGGAAGGTGTGTGCCAGCATGAGCTCATTTGCATCTGAGCAACACAGTGTACATGCCTACTTGGCGAGGTCCAAATTGTGATGAAAAAGACCAGGCTTTGCTATTTGAACCATGGATTCAGTATCCCTGTTAGCACTCAAATAATGAGATAAGATTTCCAAACTCTCTATTTCACCTTCTTATGAGGCCTACCAACTCCATAGCACCATTTTGGGATTTGAATATGTAAGACGATGTATGGTTTTTTTCTTAAGCTGCCCAAACCCAGATCCCATGAATATTGTCCTCCAATAACTAAGACAATGTTTTCGGTGAGAACTCTGATGAGAAATTTCTCATAAGGGCATGGAGTGAAGCAACGTGAGAAGGATGGCTCTGCCCCGTTGTCACACTCTCATTTTTTCCTGATCCTTGTGTCTCCTGCTTGTGCCCAGACCAATAGCAAGATTGTGAGATTTACTCATTCTCTTGCTGAGGGAGATCACCTCTCATCACAGCATTCTGCTCCACTGGCCAACATATTTATATGCACCTTACGTAGGAATACCCTGTGAGATTTACTGCCAGCCAATACCTTAAAAAAAATCAGAATCTGGTGTCAGGATCAATATCCAGAGCTATTGGGAGCCGCTGAGCCCTTCTTGGCAACCATTTCTTTTGCACAAGTTGCCTCAGAGAGGCAGCAAGTATTGGAATTCAGATACAACCATGTAAGGGTACAGGGAAGGGGAAAGCAGGCAAATGCATGGCCATTCCTGAAATCATAGGCATGCTGGAAGCTTAGACTTATCTCATCCCATATGGGTAATAGCTGATTGCAGCCCACTGAGACTCAGCAGTAATTAACAATTAAGTAAGTGTGTCCATTAAAACCTACTATCTGCTTCAAATGGTACTTGTGAAGATATTTAGAAGTAAATCTATTCTCCGGGGTAGAATACTTTGTGTGCTGGAAAAATTCCCAAGAACCACTCAAACTTTTCATGAATTCCTTGACACATTAATTTTCAAATCCTTGATTCTTGTCTATGGAAATTTGGCCATCTATGTCCTGACATTAATCTTTTCTTTCCCTGATTCTAGAAAACTTTCTTGGTATGAGGTCCCTACAGTAATTTTTTCTATGTCACTCATATTACATTTTATCTTGAGTGGTGTAGTAATATCAACTCCTAACTTCAACTCTACATATTCTTTCAGTAGGCCTTTATGTGTGTGTGTGTGTGTGTGTGTGTGTGTGTGTGTGTGTGTGTGCACGTGTGTGTGCACTCATGCATGTACATGTCTGTCCTGCTTTCCTAAATATACAATATATTTCCTTCGGTGATATGGCCCTTTGCTTCTTTATTCTTCTCATTGCTCTCCTTCCTCTCTCCCTCCCCCATCATCCTTCTCTCCTCTCTTGCCATTCATTTGTTCACAAATATTTAATGCTCTACCAACAGGGATACTTCTAGGACCTGGGGGTATAGGGGTAAGCATGAGATTTAAAGAACAAATTCAATGATGATAAAATAACTCTGGATACAAATGTGGTGTCATTGATTTTCACTGCATTCTATTTTTATAGCAATACACTTACATTATTCTGTGATTTTAAAAACTTTCTGTTACTAGCAAAGTCCTTTTCTTTACTGACAATTATTCCCAGGCTTTAGTGATAAAGTCAGGTTCTAACTTTTATATATTTAAAAGATAAGTGAGCATCACAGCTACAACGAAATTGATAAATGTCCCCAAACACAGATAGGCAAATAGGAGTGGAGAGCAGTGAGGGGATATAGTTCTTTTGGTACTAACAGTGGGTGGTTTTTAAGAAAACAGCATCATTTGTCTTACTGGGGCAGCCTAGATCCAGGCTAAAATCCTACTTGTAGAAGAAATAGAGAGACAAAGGATAACAAAAATAATTTTTATTATGATTTTCATTGAAAAAATACAGAAAATCAATAAAAATGAGTAGAGGCAAATAATATTAAAACAATTCAAGCAAAAATAAACATACAGAAAACAGTAAAAGTGAATATAGGTCCATAGTCAACATTAAACAGTTCAATACAAAAATTAAACTATTGACCCAACCTAGGCATTTAGGCCAAATATGGAAAGGAGGTACAACTAGACATTCTTGAAGGAGTCTTTTCTTTCTCAAAGGTGCAGCTTAGATCCAAGGTGCTGTTTTAGGTTAACATCTGAAGGAACGAGAGGGCAGAGGAGGGAAAGAAAGGGAACGGGGAGAAAACAGAAAGGGGAAGGAAGAAAAACTAATATTCCATGAGCTTTTAAAAAATAGGATGTCAAATACTTTGTTAGGCACTGTATGCATTACTTCATTTAATCCTACGAGGTAGGTATTATTTCTCTTCATTGTAAAGGCAAGGAAAGAGGCTCATAGAGTTTATATCATTTGCCCCAGATCACATAGTTGCCGTGGCAGAGAGAATGCAACTCCAGCCCAAAGCCCTCCTGCTTTCCTCCAACATCAGGTGTTCCGCAATGCACCACACTCTTAAATGGAAAACAACTCTGGGCAGATTTATGGCTCTCAGGAGGTGTTGATCTAGCCCATCCAATATATACCTTTTTTTCTGGAGCTTGGGAGTAGAGAAATCTGGACCACATTTCCAAGAGGACAAGTCTGATTTGTCTATTTCTTCTTTGTTTCAGAGGAAAGACCTCAACAGGTGGCAAAAGAAGGCGTAGAAGGATTAAATGCTGCCTATCAGACTGGTGGGCTATTAATAATTCCCCTAGAGCACGTTCATTAATAGAAAAAGGAGAAAAATGTATGATAAACAAAAAGGTGCAAACCCAAATGTGCATGTTAATCAATGATTACGAATATGAATCCTCCTAAATTCCTTAGCTGTCAAAATCGAAGGATAAAGAAACTCAAAGGAACACCAAGCATGTAGCAGAGCTATACACTAAATCACGTCTCCATCACATTCACAGCTCCACAGGCTAACGTTCTCTATACTGATGGCCCCTTCTTAGTTGATGATTTTTCACAATGTATTTCATGGCTTCCATCCCTACATGAGACTTTATTACTATCACATAGGAATAAAAAGCCATAAAGCACTAGAGTGAATTTATCTTGGTCGGATGCAAAACTTATTTTCTTCACATGACTTCACAACCATTTCAAAGCTAACCAATCATTTCATGCTACATTAAGAAACATTTTAAACTACACACAAGTGACAAGAAGCACACTTAAATTGTGACATCACAAGTTAACAAGATTTTATCCTTCCACGACATTCTTAGCTACAAGGACCAGGAAACAACACCAAGAGACACTCAGAGACATTCAACCATTGAATTCACCAAAAACAAAGGACACTGGGGAGAATTCCTGGAGAAAATCTCATCACTTCGACATTGAATTTGGAAACACATATGGAAAGACAGAAGACAGACAAATCACTGATGCAAACTGAAACCAGAGGAATTATTTCAAGCCTTTTGCTTCAATTTCTTCCCCAGATAGCTTTCTTACATACCCATGCTGGCTTTTATTCTTTTCTTTTGGGGGCAGGTGGGGAGTGGGGATCTTAGTACCTGTTTGACTATGTAAGCGTTAACTTTCTCTACACCTAAATAACAAAAAGGAAATTAAAAAGTATAGCATACTAAGGGACCACACAAGTGCTAACTGCTCACCTACAGCCTTTTATAGAGATAGATCCCCCAACCCATCTGCAAAAGCGAGAACGATGCCAGAAACAATAGTATGCACTGAAATCTCTCAGTGATCTAAATAACTCAGGTCCAAAGACCAAGAACATTCTTCATGCTTCATTAAAGTGACATTGCTCTTGGTATTATTAAAACACTTATAAGTGGCCATGCTGAAACTCATTTCTCTGGTACCACTGAAAACTCACTGCCATAAATCCCAATGGTTTTTTTCTGGCCTTTCAAAAATAAACTTGAGGTGCTTACCTACCAACTCCTGAAACAGCATTCCAGACTATTAAGCACTGCCCTCTGCTTTTTTAAAAATGCATTATTCAAATTCAAATAAAAGAAACAAGAACTTGAGTTCCTCCATAGGAGTAAAGGCTAGGCAAGCTATTTCCATCTAGAGGTTACTAACCTGACATCTTGGATTATGCGAATCACAGGGAAGAGACTGGAGATAGTTAAATGAAAGGAAGTGCATACATAAATTCAATTATCATGCAGAAAACATGCAAATGATTTAAGCACTGCATCTGAAACTCTAGTTTATATTCATTAATCTCAGGTTGCACTTTTGAAGGAGAAAGACATGCTAATTGGGTCCAGATTAATGCACTCCCAAACCTCTCCAATTTGTTTTTAGATGAGGGTTAAATGATATGTTTTAAAATAAACACAGCTGCTCATCTGCCTCCACCTTCTACCTCCTAGACTCCACCTCTACCTCCTCCCCCAGCTGGCTCAGCTCTCCCCACCCTGAGCCCCTCCAACCCCCACTGCTCCTCTACCACATCTCTCCTTCCATTAGGGAAGGGGTTCAAGAGCCCTAACATTTTCCTTTTAAAAATACACTAGAAGGATGATACTGTTTCTTAACCAGCTCAACGCTTTCCCTTTCTTCACCAGCCACCGAACTCCAGAAAGACAGTCAATCACATATCAAATCCTGCTGATGCTTAAATGGTGGCATCAAGAATGTGGACACATGGGAAGGCAGCTTTGCATTTTCTCAGGCAGTGCATTCTTTCTACAAATTTGGACCTGCATCCTTTGGATCCATACTGATGGGCAGTTTTAAAGTGTGAAGACACATGCTTGCTGAAATCCAACATTGCTGAAGGTTGGCATGGCAATCCTGTGACTCAGTTATGTGGGAAACTAGCGACTCAGGAGAGAACTTGGGGGTTTTTATTGCTGTTTTTCCTCTGTGGCTCACTCAGCCAGCAAAAACTGGCACTGAGCAGAGGGCACTCAAAATGCCTTTCAAAAGGATCCCTTGCTTCCTTTCTTCCTCCTCCCTGGCAAAATTATCTTTTAAAAAAGAAGAATGTGATTACTGATTAATTGATAAATTGATTTAATGTATTAAAACATTAGTTTGGGAGACAAAGAAATAACATGTTTCAGGGAGAATCTTATTTTGTGAGAAGTGGAGCTTTTGAAATAGTAAAATATTCTTTTCCTGGACCTTATCTTTAGAAAAATAAACCAAAGGAAGAGGAATTGTGGGCTACAGGAACGGAGCTGGGAGGGAAGAAATCCTCTCTGAAAAAGCAGCCACCAAGGAGTTAAACCAGGCACACAAAAAAAGAGGCCTTCAAACTAATTTCACACTGAAAGTGATGTTTAATTTGAATCATGCTCCTCCCAAAGGGAAAAGGTTAGTCTTGTCACTTGACTCATATCTCCTCCCCTTCCTCCTTTCATGTGAATTGAAAATTCAGATTCACCATTAATCATGATGTGACACGTTCTTTTTTTCCCGTTCCAAAAATCAAATGAAAGCCTGGGACCACATCTGAGAACCCAATGGTTGGCTAATTCTCCCAACCTGCGTTCACAACAGAGAGAAGACAAGAACAAGGGCACATACAGACACAGAGACATAAATTACTGGACGTGCACTCACAGCAATACACACAAATACATACAGCTAGTAGCAGACATTGACTTAGAGGAGAGCCTTTCCACCTAAATTGATTTTTGCATATTTGCAAACGTAAAATTAGTCATAGTAAATAACAACATGGGCAGGACTGATATTAAATCTGTCAACATCCTGACAAATGCTCTGAGCACTCTTTAGTTAGGAAATACATGTATGACAGTCATTGCTCCTAAAAGAGAAAATGATTATACGCTAACCAAACCCTAAGTACAAGCTAAAGATATTCACCTCATGAAGCCATTCCTCAACTAGCCCCTTGGCACTTGCTGGAATTATTCACAGCACGAGCTCTACTTTCTCATTTTCTGCTGACTCCGTGTGGGTAATTTCTTTCTCATGATTAAAAGTGAGCTTGGCAGATCCTTCAAAGCGTGGCTTTAGGTGTGGTGGGGCTCCAAGTGCATTCTTTGTCTAAGGCAGGTCTCTAGTAATTCATTACTGGACCATTGGATGAGCACGTCAAGGGAATATTCCTGAACCTAAAATGATTTTATAAAAGGAAAACTTTATAGATATCTTTATATAAACATATTTGTATATTGAAACATGCAGCTGACAGATGAAATGAACTATTTACCTTGGAAAGAATAGGTAGGCTTTTCTCTTCCAAGTAATCACTCCAGCCTTTCTGAATGTCATCCCAAAGCGATTCTGCTCCTTCGACTTATCCAGCATCTGAGGTTGTGAGATAACCCTGGTAGCACTGGCCTCCTTCCCGGCCCCTTCATTATTAGCCTCCTGGTGGGTGAGATAGAATACAGTGAATGTAATAACCCTACTTCACACAACAGGCTTGCTCTCTCTTTTAAATTGAAAATCCCCTTATTACAAAACAAGGGGTGTTCTTTTTCTTCTACCTTTAAGTAGGACTGCCACATTCATTGCTTTTTACAAAAACGCAGCTGCTTTTTAAGCTATAGATAAATAGAATCTGCTAGGCGGTAATTCGACTCAGTCTGAATGCATTATTTTCTAAGACACTTTAGCGAGGGGCTTTTTATTATAAACTGGAATGAACAAGGAAAGTCCTTTTCTCTTCTAATTATGAATGTGTTTTGTTCCCTACTATTAACCTACAATGTCAGATTGATCTTCTTCTTCTTCTTCTTTTTCTGCAGTCAGTTCAATAAATCAACTTTTTTTTTTCTGGAAAATTAGAGGGATAATGATTAAGTCTTCATGAGCTTCAATGACAAAAGTAAAAATAGCACATGGGAAAAGCAAATGCTGAAACCATAAATAAAGACAATGAAACCCTCTGATGTCCAAGGTAACAAATCCTGTTTTGACACCAAAAGTTAAGATAAAGGGGATTTACTTAATTTTAATGAATTTAACTTTAATAAAGTTAAGGCTTTCCAGGCATCTTACTATATTTGTTGACCCAGAAAGGATGAAGGTATTTTTAAAATAACATTTCTATATGGAGTGCCCAAACCAGTTGTATTTGTTGTTTGCTTGTTCATTATGGATAATAGTTGGCAATGTAATCAGTCATCCCTACACTTTTGGAAGCAATGAAATGAAGAATTAAAACGGAAGAGGAAGCACTGTGATAAAGCGTCTTCAATTTGAGCTTCTGCAGACATTTTTTTAACTTCAAAGATAAATACTGAGAAAATGGTGAGTTCCTAATAATATCAAAAGGCAGTCTGGAAACTGGAGGTTGGTTTAATTTTGATCCCAGTGTTGATATTCCTGACTATAATATTAAAATAGACCATGGCGGTTATGATCTAGGTCTATATGGATATATTGCCTTGCCAAGGGGAGGAGAGTGGGGGGAATCCCACAGGATATCAGTGGGGTTCCAATTAAGGAAAAGTAAATACTGCTGCAGCCTGGACAGTAAGTGGAGATTACCAGTATTTCACAGAAGCACAGACAGGTGCCCACTAGTAAATTTACAGATTTAAAGCCAATGCTGTCATTTCCCTTCCTTCAGCAATAATGGAAAGCAAAGTGTTGAAGATGAACTCTGTGTGGCAGATAGTTTCAGAACAGTTGCCTCTTGTTTGTTCATACAATTTTGAGTTTATTTCCAATAATGGTGAGAGTGGAAATCAAAGGGGCCTTGTGCAAAACACAAAGTCATTCATGAACCCTAAACTGAGATCACATGCACATTTGAAAGACCCCAGACCCAAGGTGTATCAGAGAGGGAGAGAGAGAAGGAGAGAAGCCTTGAAATAATATTTGCATCTGAAACCATGCGCCTTCCTTGTGTATGTGTGAATTTTTTTTAAAGGGGATATTTAACACAAGTGAGATGCAGACCACATTTTCAGAACACTCACTCTAGAAAGAGTATATTTGCAGTGAGTGTTGGTGACAGAGCTTTTGAGATTCTACCACTCTGCTTAGATTTGAATCCATTTTCGATCCTTCTGTTACGTGTGGGAACAAATGAGGGCTTATCAGGTTGCTGGCCTCGGTATCAGGAATCTAAGTGATGCTATGGCAACACAAAAAGCCCAGTTTACCCAGAATAAATAACCAAGCACCAAGCCCCTTCCCTGAGACACAAATTGAAGTATATTAGGCATCACTGTAAGAGTGAAATTGAATCCCAGGGCATCGATATCTCCATTGAGCTAATGTCACTAAAACGAGCCTGCTCTACCAATCAGGAATTTATGTTTGTAATATTGATGTGTGAGGAAAATAGAAAAAAGAATCTCAGTTGTATATTTGAAAAAAATTTTATTTACTAGATATCCTGATACAGTAACACATTCTTTTTATAGAAACAGGTTTTACTAAGTTACTCACAAAAATATCTTTGAACATCTACTATCCTCAATTCATTCTTTCTTCCTTTTAACCCTGAACAATCATTGACAAAGATAAAAGATAGAAAGCAGACTTGAATGTGAGCTTATGAGGGATGGCATATAGTCACCATACTCTGCCACCTGTGATAGTCTTTTAAGTTAATTTAAAAAAAAAAAAAGGTATGTGATGATAAACAAACCACCAGCCAGAACTCTCAGCCCTTATCAAACTTTCAAAATAATTAAATAAGTAGCCCTAATAAGAGCAGCTCCATGATGAAGGAGAAAAAAATGGCTGTTCCTTGTTGACCAAGACCCAATGGGACAGTGCTTTAACAACATGGTCACATTTCACTCTCTGTTTGAGAAAAGAGAACTAGAGAGAAGGAGAAGCTAAGTAAGAAGAAAGAGGAGGAGGTGATGAAGGAAAAGGATAAAAAGGAGAAGAAAAGGGTAGAGGAGGGAAAAAGAAAACAATTATCACAATGAATAGGTTGTTTCATTCCTTTCCACATAAAAATAATTCTCTTCACACAATCTCCCTCTTTAAGCCTCACTTTTTCTCCCTGTAAGTTGAAGATCATTGTGTCTGTCTTATTGGGCTCCTGTAAAGACTAAGTGAGGCTGTGTGATTTATCCGTGATACACCCGGCAAATAGTAGTTATCCAATAAGAATCAGACATTATTATTATTGGCACTGGTCATTAGGTGACCTATTCCCCTCGTGCCTCTCTACCTGATTCATTCCACAGCCATCTTCCAAACTCTAAGCATACCCAGCAAAGCAAAACAACCTCAGTACAAAGTGACCTCCAGAATGACTTGACTTTGTTCTTCTACCAGATTCAAATCACTTTACGCTTGCAATGGAAAGTCTAAACTTGGACTTTGTTCTACTTCCAGGTTCTGAAGCAAAGATGATATATCTCAGAAATGAGAAAGAGGAGACACTAAACGCGTAATGATTAGACTCAATCAGCTAAGCTACTCTGTGTTCTGAAAGGTTTTCATAGCTATAGCCAAATTTCCATTTTATTAAGAGGTGGCATCCGCATGGAGAAACTAGACTCTGTTTTCAGACTTGTTGCCTCCCAATCCTGAATTTAAGTTAATATACACACTCACACATGGCTGCACACATATGTGCAGACATACACACATCTGAATTAACAACCTCTCAGGTGTACTGTATCTTCACTCAAGAAACAGACAGCTTTAGTTATTGCACCTGAAAGTCTTCACTCTTCCCTGACTATTGATAAAAACATTAAGCTGCATGGCAAATATCACGTAAATCTGATCTGCAAAACTGCCAAAATACTCCATCTTTCCTAAACAAAATGACATCTAACCACACCCAAGTCATAAAAGAATATCTAGGACTGTGACTCTATTATCAAGATAGATAAAATTTCAAATGATGAAACAGCAGCTTATTCTTAAACATAACTTGGTATATTCCATTTTAACTTTGACCAAAAACTTTAAGCACATTGTTTTCAGTGAAAAAGACAAGCCATATTATGAAGATGAACTTTGGTATGAATATACAGTTTCTTCAGGAAAAAAAATACAGTGTCGTAAATATTAAAACGTCTGCCCTTCACCTCCTTTTCCCGAAGTCTATTTTCTAAATAGGGTTGTTTGAAATAATCTCATTTTTATAAAGTAAAATATCTTATGACAATCAAACTTGAGAATTGGTGTACAAGAAAATGCAAACTCTTAAAAGGCTAACTTCAAAAAGATTTATTCCTTTTGGTGGCTCTTTGCCCACGAACATGCCTTCCAAGCCAGAAAGAGGCTCCAAGCTCCACTGACCACAGGAAATTCCAGCCAAGATTCTAATCTCCTCTGCAGAAGGCAGTACAGAGGCAATGGATGAGAACAACACAGCAGAGAATGCTATTGAATTTGGTGTGTCCTACAAATGAGGAAACACTGATATCTCCCCAGAATCATAGTCAACATGGAGATGCTCTAAACATAAAAAGTAAGACAAGCTTTTTAATTTCTTGTCAAGGCTTCCTGACATCCAACGCTTTCATGAGGTCAAGAAATGTGTCCCCAGCTTCTGTTTTCTGTTCTCCTTCAGGGAACACGGTGAAGAGGCCACCCAGCTGCTTTTTAGCATGTCACACTTGGCTGACTCCCTTCCTTTCTAGGGGAGTATGTCTGGTGCATTTGGACTCACAGAAGAAAAAGCAAAATTAATTTAACATAAAAGAAATTCACCTATTTTTGCCTCTTTAATATTCGAGAGAACGCTCATGGTTTGGTTAAGTTTAAAAAGTTTTACAGAACAAATATTACAGAGGCATAAATCATATAGGTAAAAACCGAGATGTAAGATGGGATGAAATCTAAAAGCTAATTAAATTCAGCAAGTGCTCCTCAAAAGACAACATGCCCACTAATCTTCTCGTCCTAATATTTTGTTTTTCAAGGGGGCCATAAGTGGAAAGTCGTCATGGTTGTAGATTCCACAGTGTGATCCTTTAGCAAGAACCTGAGAAGGGGGAAAAAAGATTAGATGCATGGATTTCTGTGCTGAATGGATGCTGGGGCCAAGATGCAAAGCATAGATAAGTTAGAGCTTCGGAGGACCTAAATTTGAAGCCAGCCAGTAAAATGGATTGAACCTTATTATCTCTAGTCACTGAGAAATTCCCAAGACAGTTGGATGCAATTTGAAAAGGTCAGAAAAATATTTCCTACACAGCATTACTGCTTCATGGTTTAACAGTGTACATTTGTGAGATGCCAACTCTAATCATTTTTATTGACTTTGCTTTCCAGAGACAGACAGACGGTCTGGGAGGCAAGACCAATAGATAAGAGAAGGCAATCTTATAAATGAAAATCTCTCTTCTTTTGTTCTCTCACTTGTGACTGTGAACAATTCCAAATCTCGCCCATTGGAAGGGAAATTATACCAGCTTCATTGAGGACTGACAGAATGG